GTCGTCTGTGTGTCTGTAAACTGACTTCTGAGCAGCTCCTGCAGTGTGATGCTGCTCTGGCTGTCGGAGTCTCGCCGTCTGCAGACTCCCAGCCGCACCTCTGTGATTTAAAGCCATCCAGACCGTAAACTTATGCCCGTGAAACCCTTAGCTCATCGCTTCTTTATTTAAAATGTCTTTGTGGGTTATGACCTCATTGGAGACCTGCCGGTCTTCTTTTTTTCCATGGTTGTGTGCTCTGATGAGGCTTCTGGGGGAGGTGTGGAAAAGGTACCAATCTGCAAAAGTCCGGGGGGGCTGGGTGGGGGCCCAGATGGGACTGGGTGGGGCTCAGGGGGGTGCTGGATGTAGGACCTTCCACGTCAGGTTGACACAGAGCCACTTCCAGGTGCTCTGGGATCCTGGAGATTATAGCTGGAAGCTGATGACACAGAGGGCTGGGTGGCCCCAGCACCCCTCACCTCGAGAGATAAAAACGCCAGATAAAGAGTGAAGGGAGGGCAAGATAGAGGGAGAGAGAAAGAGAGGGAGGGAGGGAGAGAGAGAGAGAGAGAGAGAGCAAAACCTTGCACAGCTCTCACATTCCCGCAGTAGTATGAAGGGCGGGAGCCAGAGAGGTGGATCAGGCTCTAATCTAAGGGGGTGTCCCAGGGATTGGTGTCATCTCGGAATTCCAGCCAACCAGTGGACAACTTCCACGCTCCAAAAACAGTTTTCTTAAAGTAAAAATGGTGGCCATTGCTGCCTCTTCAGCTGCTGCTGCTGGTAGGTTCCATCTTCCATTGTCCTGAGTTTGCTTAGAGGGTCATTTTGTAATGGGAGCGATGGGGGTGAGTAGGCCGACCTCTCAGACGATACTTGTGGAATAAGCTCATTGACATCTTTTGGTGTCTCGCTGCATGTGTGTCTTTTCAGGATCCCACTTGTTTTATTATTTCACTTCTCGACATGACTTTTGAAATTCAGCCAGTCGCCGGGGACCCTCCCCTTGTTCTCACCAAGAAGATTACAGATTTCGTGTACATTCCTGCTTAACGTAGCGGGACTTTACAGCCAAACGGGGCACAGGCTCCGGGCAGCTCTGTAGTTTGTGAGAGAGCAGCTCTGGTCTGTCTCAGGGTGCCATTTATCTTCCTGCTCATTGGAAAATCAGCTTCACGCCAACCTGTGAAGGGCTGTAGTTTGTACAATTGCTGAGGGCCCAACTACCATTTGATGGTCTTAAAATCGGAAGGTTGAAGAAGTTGAAGCATTTGGCTGATTGTGCAACATAAGAGAACTTGTTTGTCTTGCAGTGAGACTAGGGGGGGTGTGCTTGTCTTGCAGTGTGACTGGGGTGTGTGTGCTTGTCTTGCAGTGTGACTGGGGGGGGGGGTTGCTGTATTTGGGAGCTTCAGACACATGGTGAAGATACAGCTCAGACACAGAGTAGAGTGTCCTTCTCCTAACCAAAGAACATCTGCGAACTAAAGGGACCAGCGGTTAGCGGTTAGCGGTTAGCGGTCAACTGCAGCCAGTCGAGACTGGGCTGGCGTGAATATTACGATTAACCCGGTTAACCCAGTTAACCTGGCTAACCTAAGTCCCCTTGATTTGCCTGAAGGAACGTTACAGTGAAACAAAACTCTGGGTGATAAAGCACTGCTTTTATTACAGGAACAGCAAGGGTCAGCTAATCTAAATGAGTAGTGGAGTGACTGGAAAGAGAGATAAGTGAAGTTACTGGACTGGGTTTGTAGAGGGTCTTTAATGTCTCTGTCCTGCTGGGCTGTTTGGATGTGATGCTATCAGAGCTCCCCACATGTGAGATACTCTGAGGGGGCCTTGCTGTGCTAACCCCCCCCCCCCCACCCCCGTTTGCTGTGGCTGTAGGAATGTTCTGCCACAGGTGCCACGCCAGATGAAAGGGGCTCTAAAGCCTTTTATCAATGATACGGAGGGTCCTGGTCACCGTGGGAATCGGCAGAAACTAGCCTCGGAGCACGTGGTTGAACCACAACGAGGTTGTTTGCATGACGAAAGCCAGACAGTTTTTCAACAGGGGTGAAGAGGACACTGCAGAAAGTGCAAAGCATTCGGAAGAGGTAGGAAGGGGCTGATTTTCGCTGAAGAGACACTAGCAAGGGGCAGAAATGGGTCATTGACCTCCGACTTGTGGGGAGCTTAGACAGGTAGCGATCACCATGTAGTAATGCGGCACCTGAAAAGCTGCATGATTGCATTTTAGTGAAGGCTGATATAGTTATTGTGTATCTACAGTCACAAACTGTAGTGGAACCAGGGTATTAGACCCGACCCGGCTGGTGGGTGTGCAGCGTCCCAGTCGCCTCTTTGTTTGTGGCATTCGGGCCGGTCCAGACGTACAACTGTGCTTCTGTGCAACCTGTCTACACGGCTCTCGATGGAAAGCCCCTCCCTCAAGCCACAAAATCCCAGGACCTCCAGGGGGGCGGAGGAGGGGGCAAACAGTGGGCGATGTGTGGCTAACACGTTTAGCTACACTCTCGTCTCAAATTGCGTTAAGGTGACCTCACACCAGAGTGAATGCTCGTGGCCTCTGTTCTTTGGTTAACCTCATTTGGGGTGTCTCAGTTAAGTCTACTGACGCAGAGACATCAGATTCTACACATACAGGAAGTGCTATTTAACAAGCATGTTTAACAGCCCCTCAGCCTCCTTCCTCTATAAACAAACAGGTGGATGCAAGAATGGAGTGAAAGAAGCCACTGTCAACAATGCAAACAGTGTATGTGTGTTTGGCTCCTCAAGCTCAGTTACTTGGGAAGCCAAGACTTTATCACAGCCCTGCTGATACTGGAAACCGCTGACTGCCTCTCTTACTTGCGTGGGAGTGGCAGTGGACGGCCTAAGGAGGCTCCACCTCAAGGCACAAGAGTCAGGAAACACATGTGTTTGGGAAGCTCACCTAGGGAGTATCAGTCAGTCTGTCCAATCTTTGCAAGCTGAGGAATGAAGTCCCGGCACTGCAGAGACCACGCCGTACGTTGGCTCAGCTCGGCAAACTCCATCATCCTGGAGTGGATGCAGCAGAGCCAGTAATTACAGAATCAGCTCATCCAAGTCTCAGCCGAGGACGCCAGGACATCCCGAGGTCACGCGATGGAATGCGTTGCAGAAACTTTAATGGCAGGCGATCCAAATCTGCCTACAAAGTCACTTTTATCTTGACACTGAATTGAGCAAATTCCTTTGTAGGGGCGGGATACCTATTGCACCATAAAATAAAGATTATGTTACGGTTTATGACGTTCTTCCATGATTTTGAAAACCTTCCCTGAGGAAAAATGTACTTGCAAACACAGAATTAGGTTACGATTTCAGGGAGAATTATGCAGATTGTTATTCTGCACTACAGACCCCTACCAGCCGAGTCATCACTGAAATCTGTTCCCTGGTTGCTTCCTCCTCCTCCGTACAGCCTTGAGAAATAACAGATTGCCTATTGTCTGTGTTCTTTTAAAGAGCTTATGCTTTGGGGGCTGGCATATGAAATCGATTCGGGTCGTGCCCCATCACGCCTGTTTATTACATTAAGCGGTGAGCCCCTCAGATGCATGTTCTGGCCGTGTTCAGCTAAACTCCCAGCCAAGATGTCCAGATGTCAGAGGGAGACATCGGGTGAAATCTCTGAGGTCACCACACTTCCACACTGCTGCCAGTCTGGTCACGTGAGATCAAACTTTTTCTAGAGGTCCCTTGAGGTGACAGAGGCTAATTGGTGGCTTAATGTGCCATATTGCCCATATTGCCTGTATCGCCCATATTGACCAGATCTGCTCTATAGCACAGTACAGAATCTGAGCTTGTTAATTATGTCTATCCAGCTGGTTTGGCACGACCAAGCTTCATGATTATGCTACGCTAGACCAGACCACGCTTAATCTGATCAAACTGGAAACTTCATCTTGGATTTGCAAAAATAACATTGGGATGTCCTTTCAGTCTTTGTGAAGTTGTGTTAAATAACAGGGGTGCATGGTGGTGTGGCTTTTGTAGCATGTACATAAAGCATACATACATACATTCATCTGCTCCTGGATTATCGAACAGTGCCGGAGTGGACCTAATACCTCATTAAACTTCAACCATGGAGGAGAGACATGTTGCTCTGATTAAATATACTGCATCGAGAGCAGCAGAATGAGGAGACAGTGAGGAGTGTTGGAGGGTTAGGATGTGAGACTCTGGAATAGGTTACCCAATGGACTTTGGTAATGTAGGAAGACGGGAGGTGCGGTTCTCAGATTCCTGACTGGCGGGGTGTCCAAGTCCCCTGCACACTGGGTCGGAAATCCTGTGGAAATCCAAAACGGTGAACTCAATCAAAGAGTTCATGGAGAAACAGGAGCTGTTAGCCCAGGCTAATGTACGCTAGCTGTCCATTTCACTGTCACTTGTGTTCAAGTGACTGACCTTCTGGGGGCAATCGTCTGTGACGGGGGGCACCCTGGTAAAGAAGCTCCCAGGATTAAGCCTTAGACAGTTGTTCTTGACGAAATGCGTTTGATCTGGAAGCGCTCATTCAGATTCCTACATCCCCCAAATGGTATCATGTACACTTTTGAGTACGCAAACCTAGTGTTTCAAATTTACCTTCAATATTAAGAGGAGTTTAATCAAATTTCCACAAAAAGTACGCAATATGTTTTATAAGCTGCATAAATCATTTGCAGAAATTATTTATGCAAGCCTAACATATTTTTAGAATGTATGACTCAGATATACATGGAATGGGTTAGTTGTCCCCATTGAAACACAATCACCATTCTGCATGCAGAAAAAGGCGTTCTGCCATTTGGATGGAAATAGTCATTGCACATCTTGATTTGATTTCTCATTGCAGTAAAGCTTAGGGTGTCTTTGAAATCTACTACAACCTGTGAAGGTTGCCAGTTTAGGACACCATTATGGACCACAACCGCAGTCTTGCATCGTCACGGTGATTCTTACTCCCGTTGTCACCCACATGGTTTTCACAGCCATGGAGCACCTTGTGACGGAGCTGAATGTCCTCCTGAAGCTGCTGGACCATGAGTCCCTAAGTGCCGCCACAGTGGAGAAGAAGATGGCTGTCAGGAACTTGCTGAAACAGCTACACCCTTCAGGTGAGAGCGCCATCCGCAGGCTGGGGAGGAACTGCCCAGGCTGAACTGATGCTGGGAAAAGTCACAATCTGGCCAGAACTGGATACAGAAGGTCAAGGTTTGTGGGAAGAATAGTCAGGAAAAGGTTATCATTCATTAGTCATTTTTCAGAAACTCAGGCTCAGGAAGAAAACTGTATTACTTAACGATTCTCTCTGTCATTGCGTGATTCACAGTGAATGGAACCGACTTCACATACATGAACACCTCCATCTGCAGAAATGGCACCAGCTTTGTGGAGTCCCTGTTCGAGGAGTTTGGTGATTTTGGCCGTCTTCTGTCCCCACGTGTCATCTGGTGACCCTGTCCCAACCCCGGCCATTGTCCAAATGCAATTTCTTGAAGCCCTTGCTCCATGTGTTTGCAGACTGTGACCTGCGAGACCTCAGGGATGCAACAGACGAGCAAAAGGACGAGAGGGAGGAGGAAACACGGGAGACACCCCCCCCTAAATCGGTGAGCTGAGCAGCTGTGTGCGTCCGCTGTAATACCCACCGCGACCATAAATAGCCAAGGAAAAAAGTCGATCTGGATAAATAAGCGGGTGTGCTTGGGAGAAAGAGGTAATGCCACAGAGAAGAGCGCCCCAAGCTGTAAGGATCAAAGAAGGCTGCTGTCATCAACGTCATGCACCAAAGCCCCAGAACAGGCTTTGTGGAAAAATAGGGCAGTAATCCTGCAAGCAGGCTTTTTTGTTCAGCTGTTTTGGTTATCCAGCTCATTTAATGAGTATGTTTTTGCTAGTCTTGTCATTAGATGTGCGTTAGTTGTCCATGTCGCTAAAATTTTATTGTGAACTCCACATAAAAAAGTGTTTTCAAAAATGTGTTTACCCTCTTACAAATAAGCTCAGATGCATTTCCTGTTTTAAAATACATTTCCTGTCCTGAAAATGCATTCCCTGTTTTTATAAAGTACAAAAACAGGAGCCCTTGCAGCTGCTCCAGATGCGTTTGGAGAGACGCATCTCTCTTGGCCAATGAGAGGTTTAGGGCCCCTGAACATGCAGGGTTAGATGTATTTGGAGAGATCTGTGTCTCTTGGTCGGTGGGAGGTTTAGGGGCCCCTGAACATGTGGGGTTAGGTCCGTTTGGAGAGGCGCGTCTCTCTTGGCCGGTGGGAGGTTTAGGGATCCCCGAACGTGCGGGGTTAGGTCCGTTTGGAGAGGCGCGTCTCTCTTGGCAGGTGGGAGGTTTAGGGATCCCCGAACGTGCAGGGTTAGATACATGTGGCAGAGCGACAGGGTATAGCTCCTAGGCGTGGTTTTCACGGCTCGGGACAGCCTAGTTAGCCTTCCCCCACTTTCTTTCAGAGCCCAGTAGACACACCACCCCCCCTGCCCACAACTCCACCTCCAGAAGATTACTATGAGGAGGCTGTGCCCCTCAGTCCAGGCAAGGCCCCCCAGTACATCACCACACGGGGTAAGTACATTCCAGAGAACAGCCAATGTACCCCGGCGAGCAATGCACACTATCACTTGGATTCTTCCTCAGGTATATGTTCACTGATGACCTCTGGCTTTTGATATTTGCCTTCTACACCTTTTTTAGGCAGCTCAAGCCCCCCCAACTCCATTGATGGATACTATGAAGATGCTGACAGCAACTACCCCACTACCTGCATTAATGGTCAACATAAGAATTCTTGTAAGAAAACAAAAGGCTCTGACAGTATGATGCTTCTCTGACCAGAATAAGCAGTTAGAAGATTTATGGATGGATGGATGGATGGATAGTTAAACCTTTCATTTTTGTTTGCAGATAATGACTCAGACGCTCTGAGCAGCTCCTACGAGTCCTACGATGAGGAGGAGGAGGAGGCAAAGGCCCAGCGTCTAACTCATCAGTGGCCGTCGGAGGAAAACTCCATGGGTCCCGTGAAGGACTGCCGCATCTGTGCCTTCCTCCTGAAGAAGAAGAGGTTTGGCCAGTGGGCCAAGCAACTGACCGTCATCCGAGAGAACAGGCTGTTGGTGAGTCCGCAGGGTCGTACAGGCCAGGGGTGTCCAAGTCAGACTAAGGGGAAGGGCGCATGGCAAACTAACCCAACACCAGGGCTTTGCAGGAACCCGCACCAGGCCCGATGAACCCAGCAGCACAGTAACACCTTGAATGTCTTAAACTGACCTAACGACTTACGGTCCAATAAATGGGAAGGAATAATGCATCCCCTGCTGTGTCTCTCTGCTCCAGTGCTACAAGAGCTCCAAGGATCACACGCCATACATGGACCTGCCCCTCAGCCTGTGCAGTGTCGTCTATGTGCCCAAGGACGGGCGCCGCAAGAAGCACGAGCTGCGCTTCTCGCTGCCCGGCGGGGAGGCTCTGGTGCTGGCCGTGCAGAGCAAGGAGCAGGCAGAGGGCTGGCTCAGGGTACTCTCCCATCCTCGTACTCACCGCTCATTCCCGTGACTTAAGCTGGGCAGCTCAGGTTTAGTGATTTGCCCCAGTGTCTTGTTAATATCGATTAGAGGTTGCACTAGGAAAGCTTACGGATCCAGCACTCGCTGCCCGGTTCTGCAGCAGAACCAGTCTGCCAGTCTACTCTGTACATGTTCATCATGTGGCCCCATCATGAAGGGAGTCTTTGTCCACAGATCATCCGTGAGGTCAGCAGCCCTGGCCCGAGCAGCACCAGCTCCGACGCCTCCAGCTCACCCTCTAACGTCTACAAGACAGAACTGGACAAGGTGCCCTTTTCTATGGTTTTCAGTCCACCTCGTTACCCAGGTCCTTACTGCCCCCTATCTGTCACATGTCACGTGCTCCCTGATTGACAATCTTCCAGCTCAGCAAATAAGCGAGTGGCGTAAAGTCACGGGCTAGGTGGGAGACAGTCGCTCTCTGGCTCTAGCCACCAGGCTGTAATTCCGTCTGACCTCCAGTAGGAAGGCCCCTGTGCTGGTCTCTCTGCCTCAGCACGTGGTGCAGACACACCCCCGAGGGTGATATTCGAGGTTAAAGGCACAGTTCGCGTAGCGGCTATCCTGGCTGAGGAGGTCGCAGTTAAAGACACCAGCATATAATACAGCTTCACCATCATGTGGCTGGTGAGCTCAGGAGTAGGAAAAGGAAAGCTGAGCAGATTTATGGCCGGTGCTGAAGGCTGCGAGGGCCAGCTTGTAGTGGAAGGAGACGCTGTTGCAGAAACATGCTTCCTACCTGCCTGCTTCCTGTGTACCTGCGTTTGCTGTGCTGATCCTGTGGCAGTTAGCTCTGTGTACCTGCGTCTGCTGTGCTGATCCTGCGGCAGTTAGCTCTGTGTACCTGCGTCTGCTGTGCTGATCCTGCGGCAGTTAGCCCTGTGTACCTGCATTTGCTGTGCTGATCCTGCAGCGGTTAGCCCTGTGTACATGCATTTGCTGTGCTGATCCTGTGGCAGTTAGCTCTGTGTTCTTGCATTTGCTATGCTGATCCTGCCTCATTTGGTTCTGCAGAGACTGGCAGCTGAGAAGCATACCTCTGATTCAGACTTCGTGGCAACGGGAGACATATGCACCCTAACCAGGGACAACCGTGATCATGGTGAGACCCCTATAGCTGTCCATCTCTGTGCCCGAATTTCCATCTCAACTGGATGTTCCTCTCTATTAATCAGTCATCTGCTCATGAACCCTATGGCTTTACACATTATTCATTTGCACAGTGTTATGGGATAAACGCCCTGTGGAAACATGCCTTCTGGTCCCAGAACCACCACCCTTTGAGTCTCCAATCACAGCTCAAACCACAATGCCACCTGCCAGTTCTTATGGCATAAATTGTGGCTGGATCAAACTCTGGCACAGCAAACCCGGATCTCCTGTATGGCCCAGCGACCTTCCAGGTGGCCACAGAAGTGCTCGTGACCCACAAAAAAAAAACTCTGATGTCATGCAGAGACAATAAGAGGAAAAGGCCAGGCAGGAAGCTTGTGGCTGTAGCCCTTCTTCCCATGTCTTTAATGTGGGCGGAGAGGCAGGCTTCTCGGGTCGGGCCGCGCACCCTGCCCCTGCTTCCCCTCCACCTCCGGCCCTGTGTCCTGCTCCATTCCACCCCCAGAGCGGCTGATTAATGATTTTCCTCTGCCCGTGGCTGGCTGGACCAAGGCTGCGTATTTTTTTTCATATGGGAAGTAAGAGAGGGATGCTTCATCTCTCAAGTGAATGTTTAGAGTAAACGGCGGCAGCCACATCACCTCGCAAGTGGCGAAAAAAAATGTTTCCAACATCGCCTCATTGACTTCCAGTATCCACAGCGAAAATGTGGAGAAATTGGGAGGAAGTGCTGTTTAGATACCGCGGCCCGAACTGGCAGTGATGCACAACATCCAGCTGTAAAAATGGCCGAGGATTTAATATCGTGAGTTCAGTTATTTGTTGTAGATAAAACTGTCCTCAGGAAACAGACCCTGTATTGAAGGGCCTTTTCCCCACTACTCTCTGTATACTTTCAATAAATGAAAACATTGATGTCGAAACACGAAACCAGCAGTGAGCAGTGTAACAATATTACAGCGAGCAGTGTAACAATATTACAGTGAGTACTGTAATAATATTACAGCGAGCAGTGTAACTATTAAAGTGAGCAGTGTAGCAATATTATGACGCTGTTTATCTGTACGACCTCAGGATTGGCCTATTTTTCATAGCCCTCTAATCTATTTCCCAGAAATCCTGTCAGGCCGGCTGAGTATTGAGCTCCACCAAACTGTACAGGAGCATGGGCTCCCATCCTCTTGACTTCCTGTTGTGTACTGAGTGACAACACCTTCTACGGGATGTTTCAAACATTGTTAGCCTTCTCTTTGTACGTCATTGACATATGAGTAGCGAAGGGAGTCGTCCTTCCCTTTATTTCCCTCGATAGTTTCTATTCTGTTTTTTTTGGCGGTGTTTCGTGGAGCGCCCCACCCCCCCACTGACACGTGTGTATCTGCACGTGTGTCCACAGGGAAGGCTAAGCGTGGTGCACTGTCGGAACTCACGGGGTCGGTGAGTCGGGCCGCTGGGCGCAAGATCACTCGCATCATTAGCTTCTCGAAGAAGAAGCCCTCGCAGCCTGAGGAGCCCCGCACCTCCTCGCCCGATGACGACGACCCTCGCAGCGGTGAGCGGGAGCCCCGGAACAGCATCTGCTCTTCATTTCGCTTCACTGAGGGACACCGATTGTCCCAGATCTTTGGTCATGTCTTCAGTTGCTTGGTCTCGCTGGAGCTGATTGGAGCTCATCTCCATTAACCCCCCCAAGGGTACCTGAGTGTGCTGATGAACCAGTGCTGGAAGGAGCGGTGGTGCAGTGTGAGAGGGGGGTCCCTGTACCTCCACCGAGACCGCGGTGACCAGCGCACCCACCTCAGCAGCATCGCACTCCACGGCTGTGAGGTCATGCCCGGCCTGGGCCACAAGCACCCCTTTGCCTTCCGGATCCTGCGGGGTGGCAATGAAGTGGCAGCATTAGAGGTATGGCTGGGGGAGATTATCAAATGAAAATGAGATTTCCAACTTCTGATATAAAGCCCTCAGTTAGATCAGTAGCAAAAAGAGTCTGTAGGACTGCACATGGATCAGCCCTGGGGGGTTTCTGTGTGCATATTGTGGGGGTCTCATGTTTATGACCTCCGCCTGCCCTCATTTACCCACAAGGCCAGCTGCTCGGAGGAGATGGGCCGCTGGCTGGGGATCCTCTTGGCTGGGACAGGTTGCTCCACAGATCCGGAGTCCTTGCACTACGACTACGTGGATGTGGAGACCATCGCCAACATCCGCGATGCTGCCCGCCACTCCTTCCTGTGAGTCAGCGCAGCCCGGAGCTCTGAGTGGCCCCCTGGGCAAGGGCCTCGGCAAGATGGGGGCCGTTTTAAAGCGGCGGTTCCCTTTAACGTCATTATCATCTGCTGTGTGCTCAGGATCGCCACCTACAGATATCAACCAAATGAAATACACAACCTCCGTGTATCTTCCACAAATGCCAATGCAGTATAGACGCTTGCTGAAATATACAATGCAGGCAGCTCTCGAGTTACATAAAACCAACTTACGTAAAAACAGATTTATGCAAAAAATATGAGGTACATACAGTTTATAGATCACTCATATCAGCCGAGATCTGCCTGTACATGATTATAAAAAGAGATAGATTCCTTCCCACTCAAATAATACACTGACCCAAAAACAGACACCCTAAGGACCATGCTCTAATTCCCCACGGAAGGTCCCTCCCAGGGTGGAAACCATGCTGGCTCCGCGTCATGCTGATCTCCGTGTTCTTCTGCTCAGGTGGGCGACCGCGGACTCCAGGACCTACGACGAGGTCCCTTTTGAGAGAGCACAGGTGCGTGCCGCTCTGTCCGGGGGGGTCGTTTCGGCATTGCTGCATATGGGAAGCTTTGACGCAAAAACCCTGAACAAGCATCTTGATTTAATGAGTCAGAGGGAGCACCAGGGGGTGGCTTCCATGGCGGCAGAGAGCATGATGGGTAATGACAGTGCCTTGTAACCTGAAGGTTGTATTTGAGAGGATGATGGAGCTCCAGGCCTCTGAATGTACCTCATCAGAATTGTATATAAATGAAATATCATCCAGCTTCATAAGAAAGTGTTTTGCTTTGGAGCACCAAAGTAACAACGGTATAATGAGGTAATCTGAGCTCTTCTCCCTGATTGGTCATTTTCAACTTAGTTTATTTTTTCACAGTACTGCATCCAACGTGGTGCTTGAAGGAGACTTGTGAGGGAATCTCATCATGCTCTGTCATGTTGCCAGGGAGGCCGATATAATAATGCACGAGGCTGGCAAGCAGACTACGGCGTCCGCTTATTTATCCAAGGCGAAAGCTACTTCGGCCTTCTGCAGAATGTGTCCACATAACGCAAGATATCTCTGTCGACTATTAATTCTGAGAATTTAGCACAAGACAAAGAGTTTTTTTAATCATACTAAGCTAAATCGTTGGCCACATTTTCACGATATCTGCGTGGTTTTTATTCCTTAATTATCACATGTAAGGTCAGCACCATTCTCAGCCACATCAATGTCTCCGGCCCAGTAACTCCACAGAAACCTTGTCTGTTAGCACCTCCTGCTTCGCCTCACCCAGTATCCCACCTGTGAGGGACACAGTCCTTTTATAAACCGTCCACATTGTGTTTATAGAAACTATTGATTTAGTCCTACTAACTACTTCTGTCTCCAGTGTATTTATTAATGAGTGGAGTCGCTAGCTGATGATAAACAGAGATAAATATTGGACATGTCATTTTTGTAAGCCTTGGAGAATTCTGGGTATTTCCCAAACAGAGGAGTCCCTTTGAAGTTTGAAGAGTGAGACACGCTTGGCCTCACCAGCCCC